CCAACTAGGCAAGTTGTAGAATAAACAAACCTATACTGCTGCAATTTGTTGCCTCACCTTTCTGCTGTAGAGAAGAAGGCCAGAAACCAACCAATCCAAGCTTCTCCGAATCTCTATAAATAGTCAGCCAATAGCAGTTAGAAAAACAACAGATTGGGTAGTTAGATTTAGTCACAAAAACAGTAGTTAGGTAGTTAGTTAGTAGGTTAGAAACATAGTAGTAGCAGGAACAAAGAGGTAGACTGTCACTCTGTCAAGTGGCGAATGCCACTCGCCATAGTGAGCATGCAGAAACATTCCCTGCTACTATCTTCCTTTTATTTCCTCTAACCTTTTGATCTAGATTTATGTCTTATCTTTTGTACTCTGTTTCTCTCATTTTTAACTCAATAAACATGTGTAGCTAACTCAGTTAAGGGTTCAATCTCTACTATCTTTATGTGAACATTTTGATTCAGTTTCCTTGATGAGGTGTTGTTCCTAAATAAGTTATTTAATTAACCTTTTAATTAACTTTGCCGTTTAATTAAATGTGCTTGTATGGTTATGAAGATCTGGAAGGGGGAGCATAACCTTAGAATTGCTTAATCTAGTCTATGACAATGGAGGAAATCTACCCTGTGGTTCCAGACATCAAGGGTTAGGTGAATGGCATAGACGAACGTTCATAAAGGGCTTAAGAACTCAATGGCTTAGATTAATGAATTACTCTGACTGGAAGGTAGGTGATTTAGATAATCTAGGACTCTTTATTCTGTCTGGAAGGAATTATAAAGAATATAAGTGCCTGATCGAACAACTAATCATACAATACATGAATATTTGAATAAAAACTGGATCATAAAGGTAGGAAGGTAGGTGATTTAGATAATCTAGGACTCTTTATTCAGCCTCTTCACTCTGTCAAGTGACTATTCTCACTCTCCCAAGTGACAATCTGTTCAACTTATTTTCTTTCTTTTCTGCACTTTAATCAGATTTTGAGCGATTGACTGCCGTCTCTATGGAACGACCCTGCTTACCACTAGCTACTAGTATTAAGTAGGTTTTAAATATTCTTCTGGGAAGTGGTTCAACGACAAACCCCTCACCAATTGCCTATACCTTTTTGGTGTGATAACCAAGTAGTGTTGTATATTACAGGCAATCTAGTCTTCCATGAGAGGACTAAGCACTTCGAAGTGGATTTTTCATGTTGTTCGAGATAAGTACAAGGAAGGGTTCATTGATCCTCAACACATCTCCTCTTCTTCCCAACTCGTAGATATTTCCCCATTAAGTACTGCATTTTGTGTAATTGGTTTAAAACATACTGAATCATCATCATTTTCATACTAAGTCAAAGTTTTGATAATAGTTACAAGGTCTCCAAAGATTGTTTAACTAATATTTAATTTATAAACTCTTGAAAGAGATGGTAGCAGAAATTGAAATTCTAAGGAGTAAGAATTAAAATACCATAAAAGCTCTAAGGAGCTGTAGAGGGCAATAATTGGTACTGAGTGAGTGTCATTATTTAAAGATTGTTTAACTCTTGAAAGAGATGGTATCAGAAAGATTTATGTTCAGAGATGGTATCAGAAAGATTGTTTAAATCTGAGGCTGATGCAATGAACAGAGTATTGGAAGTGAAACAGAGGATAAGACCAAGAAGAAGAAATGGGAACATTGTAGAGGGCAATAATTGATTCCCAATCGCTTCCTTGCTGCTTTAAAAGGGATTGGTGGATTCTCTCTCTTGCCAAGAAGCCACTCGTTTTGTTGAATTTATTCTTCTATAACCCATAGTATGAAAGTTGATTCATGAGTCAACAGAGCTTTTATGGTATTTTAATTCTTACTTTCGTAAATCTTCTAAGGAGTGGCATTATTCATTATTTAATTCTTACTTTCGTACTTAAATATCAGAAATATTAGTTAAAGATTTATGTTCTAGGCAGTCACTTCCACGAGTGGCATTATTCATGTGTGTGAGTGAGTGTCAGCCATTCTTCTCTCATGCATCAGATTCAGTATCAGAAAGTGGTTTAACAAAATTGTTTTTCAAAACCATTATCATCCTAGACTGTTGACAGCTCCTTAGAAGATTTTCATTTTGTTTTGAGAGAATTAGGAGATCAACTTGATGAGTTTGATCCACTCTCATCTTGCAAGAGGGGGTGTTACAGAATCTGGAAGATTCTGATTCACCTAGGAACAACCCAACAAGCATAAGGCTGCATGCATTGGATTTGAATCTCCATCATCTACACACACGCTTCCGAAATCATCCACAACAGCAAGTGGTCCAGAGCCACTCAAGCTTTTTGATGCTGCCAACTATAATCGACCTCAGCAACACGAAAGGTAATGGAAAGAAGCCTGTGATGCATGTCATCAATTTAGGAGATCAACTTGATGCACAGGATCCAACCGTCAATTTATATTCATTAATGTGTAATTAGTTTATTGTTAACCATTAGATTAGTGTGTGTTAGTTTAGAGTCTGTGAATAATCCAATACTGAAGGTGTATATATATATATATATATATATATATATATATATATATATATATAAGCAATGTATAGAACGATACGAATGAATACAAAAAAAATTCCTACTTCAGAAAAATAGCATAAACTTCTTCTTCAAAATTTCTAAACCCTAGCATTTAAGACTCTGCTGATCTTCAATTCTTGGTATAATTCTGCTTCATTATGATGATGATATATGATTTGTATGAATACTACTCTATTATGCATATGCCCAAAACAAATTACTCACATCTCGATAGTTTCACAAATGGTATTACTGCTGCGTTACTAGGAATGAGCAATACATGTCCTGGTACACCCACATGTTCCGTAAGTTGTATTACCAAATCCAGATCAGGCGAATTGCAGAGACTTCGGTGACTTCTTCTTCTTAATCCAATCATCCATATCTTCTTGTGCTTTTTCATCAAGATCTCCATCTACCAATGCCATTTTACTTGATCTAACAAAATTATCAATGTCAACACAATGACTTTGAAAAACTTTCAAGCCATTCAAATTCGCAACATTCATATCTTCAGGTGCCGGTGACACTATATGAGCAGCGATAACATGAGATTGTACAGCTTAAAAGCTAGATATTGGAGATTAGATCCTCATACTACAATCATAATCAACCAAGACAATGCTGAACTTGTAACTGATCCGGAAAGCTAACTCACATCTCCCAAGTCCGGCTTATATTATGTGGCCTCTTGAATTGGACAAAGCAAAAGGGAACTTTGAGCAAATGAATAAGAAAGATCCGTTAAAATTGGTAACAAGTTTCCTCTTATATTTAAACCCTAAGATGAAGAAGACCTTGAAAAGCACCAAATTTCAGATCAAAGCCTACAAACTCACATCTGCACTCAGAAGAACACTCTTATGAAGAAAGGCTTTTTTCCCACTCAAATGCAGCTGAATGAGTGAAAATGTTTTTTTTTCTAAAAAAGAATTTGTTCGGGGTAGCTGCAAATTGATTTGTATTTTTTGATTTTATAGGTGTTAATTGGTTATAGAGTACTTGTTGGGCAATGAAAACCATGAATTTTAAAGATTTGACTCCTCGGTCTATAATCCAAAACAAATCTTGGACTTGATCTCGTATGCAAAAATTACCATTGGACCAAGTTTGAAATATTTTATGTTCTGATTTTTTTTTCTTCTCATTCTGTTTCATATATGACGAAGGCGAATCCTGATGGCAGTGAGTCGACGATCTCTCTAGGTCGGAGACCTGCAAAACAAAGGTTAGTACTCCGAAGGCTAAGTCAGTATAGTGAGAGAAGATAATGTGCACAGTTATTGTAGAGAGAGACTAGTAAATGTGCATTAACCCATTGTAGTAAATGCATGGGACTATTTATAGAAGTACTATTTGGTACTGTTCACGAAGTGGGCCCCTTTTACCATTGGGCCAATTGAGTTGGGCTAAGAGCCCTATAAACCTAAGTGTATGGATTTATAACCTGATAGAAAAATTATAAAAAATATTTGGGCCTTATTACTTATTTCCTCCATCAAGAGCCCCTGCCTAGTCCATAAAGGCAATGTGTTTTTGGGCCCGGCACATAACTAAGGAGTAAGCAGCCCGAATAATTTATTAAAGCCACAAGGGGCAGCCCAAGTCCAATGTTATTTTCTTTTAGGGCTTAAGAAAGAATCCAACGGTGGAGGATCAACCCATACAAGGTGGACGGATGCCTCAGATCGAGTGGAGCGGGTGTGGCCGTAATTATGCCGATGCTTCTCCCGAGGCGACAGTTCATGAGCTCTCCTTAAGCTTATAAGTGACTGAAGGGGTAGTCATTCTTGTATCATTTTCTCAATTTTTGGTATCTTATCATCAACCTTGAAAAATTCTTGTGGGAGATTCCCACCAAAGCAGGCCGAAAGGACGCGAACCCGGGTAGCGTTCAACCATAGCGTAGATCATCCCTACAAGTCCATCGATGGCGGCCGATGGACGGTGACCACGAGGGGACTTCATCCTCAGATCTACTTGAGCCGCCATCAATCAGCGACCATGATTCTCAATCGGAGTTCGGAGGGGCCTCGAACTTGGACTGGTTCGAACGCGAATTAAGGGAGCTTTTGACCGCGACATAAATCGGATCCACGAATTCATTGACGGCGACCTGTGTACGGTGATTTCGAGGCACCTTCATTCCCGGATCGACTTTAGTCTTGGCGCCAATTGGTGAGTCGAGAGCGGTTGTATGGAGAAGCTTCGACTTCGAACTTATTTGAGCGTGAAGGCGGTCGACGACGGCATTAAGCTACCGAATGAAGAGCCTTCGGACTTAGTGTAAGATGACCCGCCCTCTATTTCTGTACACATATCATGTCTAAAGAAATTACTAGGGTAGAGGAAATAGAATGTTCCGCCCTCAGTAACTCTATCTCGTATTTTAACCAAGGTATTCAAAGCTGGTTCTAACTCTTCCTCTTTTCCTTGATAGGTGTACTTTATTTTGACCTGATGACTAAACACTCTGCTTTTGGTGATGACTCAGAGGAGGAGGCCATCGAGATCGAGGAAACCCCAAAACGTCATGAGGAAGTGAGGATTCTGGAGAAGAAGAGGCCTCGATCCGACAAGCAAGCAAGCTCATCCAATAGTCACGATCGTCAGAGGACAACCCAAATGATGCATCCTCTCACTTTTAAGAAACAGAGGGCAGAGTCCGAACCGACTCCGGGGTCAAACCTGCCACCACGTGGCGGCAGACATTTGGCCGACCGACTGCTCAGGGAGATGTATGAAGACAAGGGAAGGGTTACTAGCACTTCCGAGTCCATTCAGTCTAGACAAGCTTGGATAAGCTTCAACCCTCCGACGGTGGATTGTCCCGACATCCAACCCTTGAAGCAGCCCCAGATCGAGGAATGCATGGAGCAAGTATAGTTGTTTTTGGGTGTTTATTCATATGAACTTCACTTAAGGATCAAGTGTTATTGTAATAGGTCTTATTGTACTACGTTGCGTTGATAGGCATCGTCTCAAGAGGAGAGAGCTATTGATCGTGCCCTTAAGTTGAAGCAGGTGGAGAATTCCCTTCAAAAGTTGAAAAAAGAATAGGATGACTTGAACAATCAGTTGACTGAGGCGCGGTCGAACATGGAGGAAGTGGCGAAGGCGCGCGAGGAGGCCTTGAAGAAGCTGGAGGGTACGATGATCCCTAAGTCAGTGTTGGACAAGTACATCCTCGTAGGCATTCATACCTTCACTTGAAGACGTTTGCAGATGGTCTCAATGCGGTGATGGGTCCTGCTCTAGAGATAGGGATGAGGAATATGTCAAAGGACATAAAGGAGTCCATGAAGAAGGAAGAAGACCTCTGTCCTCTTTTGGATAAGTATGCAGATGAGGCGAACAAGGGTCAAACATCATCGATCCGGTTGAGGTTTATGGCCCGAGAGCTCTTCAGGGACATAGATTGGGAGGATGTCCCCATTATTCAAGATATATCTAAGGGGTGTCCTTCTATTACTTCTCCAGAGGACATCCTTAACATCAAGCAGGGCCCCTCGAAGATTTTCTCGATTCTGAAGGGTGCCCGAACTCCTCGTAGGATGCCTCAGGGACCTGATGATGAAGAAGAAGAGAAGGGAGAAGAAGAGGCCGAAGGAGGTAAAGAGAGTTTGAACCCGGGGCCGGGGAAAGTGAGAGCCCTGAGAGTGACGAATCGTCTTTGGATTCTGACGCTACCAGTAGTGACCCAAGGTGAATCCCAAGGGGACTTAGGGGCTGATAACCTATGTACTCTTCTAGTTTTTAAGGTTTTTGTAATTTTTAGGCCCCTCGGGGTAATTTTATTTAATATGAACCCTCTTAGCCCCTCGAGCCTTTTGCTTGCTTTTATATCTATTGCATTGTGTTTTATATTTTTTGGCTAAGTCCTCATTTTTGCCCCTACTTGTAGGAAGGCGGGGAGTCCCCGAGGACCATCAAGAAGCCCTCCTTTCAAACGAAAGAGGACCCCTCGGCCGCAATGGGATTTTTAGCAAATATTCCTCACGTGAGCTTGAGTCTACCAGACCCTCCCTATGACTCTGCTATGTATCCCCATCACACCGCCATCGGGAAAGTCTTATTCAACCCCTCCCTGAACCTTAAAGAGGGACGGTTTCCCGAACTCGAGGAGAAGCTTAAGAACGCTCTTGCTTCCATGCGAGAGTCCGAACAAGCATCGGCTTTTGGGGCAGCAAAGAAATTACAAGCAGAGAACGAGAGGCTCCGTCATCTTCATAAAGAACTAGAGGCCTACTGGGAGGATCATTTCAAGAACGTAGTTCAAGTGGAGTTTCGTGCGTCGGATCGCCTTTGGAAACTCGAAGCTACGATTAGGAAGAAAAAGAGGAACGAGGGGGTTATAAATCCTGACCCTGAGGACTTCATCCCGCGGAATTACTACTAGAGTGTCTTGGCCCACCATCGAAAAACTTATGCCCTTTGTTGCTGTGAAATGGGATCGATCCTCGGACAAGATTGGGAGACTTAGGCAATACGCCCGTCGGCTGCAAGTAGCCCTCAGACAGGCGTCCTCATTGGTGACCAAATTGGGAGGCAAATATGATCTCGAGGAACTCTGGCCCAGGGAAGGCGCGGACATGGACGACGACCCTGAGGCTCCTACTAGAGAGGCGGAGCGACTCATATATTCTGATGACATTTTTTTCATGATATAGGACAAGCTTCTAACTAGGTTGATTTGAGTAGGGCTGCAGGTGATTTTTTTGAAATAAGGACCTTCATAATTGATAGGTTCGAAGGTGCCTTGAAAATATACTTCAAGGCTATATGCCTTTTATTTTTTGAATTTTTTCTTTTTATTCGAGCTCCCTTCTTTTGTTATAATTTCAGGCAAGTATACAAGATTTTTATATCTACTGGTTTAGTGGGCGGTTAAGTTGTGTTCATTTTACATCCCTTCTTCATGTTTGTCGATGTCCTTCCCCCGAATCTCATTACTTTTCGAGTTGGGTAGCCAAGGCTTTTATCGTCGATCGCCGTGCGATCGTATGAGGAGCCGTTATGGGGTAGAGGAGCCTTTGGGACAAATTTTTTGACAAAGGTCTGCAAAAGGCTTTTATCATCGACCGCCGTGCGATCGTACAAGGAGCCGTTGACCGCCGTGTGGTCGTACGGGTTAGAGGAGCCTTCGGGCCAAATGTGATGAGAATCATATGGCTTCCCATCGAAGTCAAAACCAAATGAAGGAGCAAAATGTGTTCTTGTCAATTGGTGGACCAAGATTGTTTCCTTTCAAGAATACACAAATGTTTGCCGTGAGAAGTTGGCCTTGTTTGAAGGAATTATCACCAACACCTTCTAGTGGGAACAATGAGGTTGAAGAAGAATCGCTTAATCAACAGTAAGTGTCAAAGGAGTCAAGTGATTATTTCCCTACCAATTGGAGTGGTTCAAGTGATGGAGATTCAAGTGATGTTGAAGAGATTGATGCAAGTGAGTTTGTTCGAAAGAGCAAGCGCCTTGAAGAGATTGAATATGCACATTCAAGTGTGTAGAAGACATCATTGAAGCTTGGAGCTTTGAATGGAGCCACACGCACCAAACAAAGGGAGGAGAAACATGCGGGAAGTATTTAATTTTAATTATTTAAAATATTGTTGAGTCCGTAAATAGATAATAAGTCTATTTACCTAGAGTTAAATAAAAATTTTACCCTTAAGGTAACTTCTATAGGGGGCGGCCGAGAGAAGTAAAGTTAATTACTTTGCTTAATGGTTAAGTTTAGTTAGAGTTTGAGTCAAATTAACTACGTCTTTCCTTTCTGTGAATTGGATCGAGTAGTACAAGGAAAGTAGAGTTTCTTTGGCCTAAAGTAAAGGCTAGATTCTAGGGTTTTGTCTAGGAGAGCAAGAGAAGCTTGCCTATAAATAGGTGGCTGAATTCTCTAAAAAATAAGTATGCGATGAGTCAAAAACTTTTATAACCTATTATGTTTTTTCTTGAAATATCATCAATGGATGGTTTTCTTAAATAATGAGCGTTTCTTATTGTTTTGAAGGAGAAGAATGGTTAGTTTTTTCTTTCTTTCTTAGAGCCTAACATGACTTGGTTCTTTGAGTAAACCGTTTTATCATGTTTTGTGTGTTGCATTATTTAATTTTTTTACAACTAATTTTCTTATCATCTTTTGATATGAAGGCCGATAGGTTGAGCATGTTAGATTGCTTGGTTTGCTCGAGTTCTTTGTGTCCTAGGGTTGTAGGATACCTTATTGGTTTATCTATTTAATATAGATGAGTTTGCATGGAAATAGCATTATGAATAATGTGTATTTGAGTGCTTATTGCCTTGGTTATGAATGTGTCCTATCCAATATAGTGAGCTATATTCAAGTGGTTTGTTTTTAGTTGAGTGAGTGATTTTCTCATTGCATGTATCGTCAATTATATGGGTGATTGTTCGATTATATTGTTTGGTCTAATCATCGTTGATTTGATTACTCAATGCGGGTAGTTATTTGGATTTTGTGTTTATTATCTTAGTGAGAGTTCATAAGATAGTATCTTCTATGATTGAGTTACTCGTTTATTTGTGATTTTTCGCACTCTTTTGAGTTTCACATTTAGACAAATCATTTTTGTACTTTCTCGATGATGGTTCCTTTAACGAAATTAGGTTCATCTTCTAGACTGCTATCAAAATATATTGACCAAGGCCTGCAAAAGGCTTGCATCGTTGACCACCATGCGATCGTACAAGGAGCTATCAACCGTCGTGCGGTTGTACAGGTTAGAGGAGCCTTCAGGCCAAATGTTTTGACAAAGGCCTGCAAAAGGCTTTTATCGTCGACCGCCATGCGATCATACGAGGAGCCGTCGACCTCCGTGTGGTCGTACGGGTTAGAGGAGCCTCCGAGCCAAATGTTTTGACCAAGGCCTACAAAAGGCTTTTATCGTCGACGGCCGTGCGGTCGTACGGGTTAGAGGAGCCTTCGAGCCAAATGTTTTGACAAAGGCCTGCAAAAGGCTTTCATCATCGACCACCGTGCGATTGTACAAGGAGCCGTCAACCGCCTTATGGTCGTACAGGTTAGAGGAGCCTTTTGGCCAAATGTTTTGACAAAGGCCTGCAAAAGGCTTTTATTGTCGACCACCATGTGATCGTACGAGGAACCGTCGACCGCTGTGCGATCGTACGGGTTAGAGGTAAGATCAACTTGATGTATACGAAGAAGTAGGGGGAAGCCACAGCCTTAGTTAGTGAGATCAGAGCAAAATTACAAGCGATGAAGTCTTCCCGTCCCTGTATCTACCATGCCGCCAAAAGAGGGGATTTGTATACTATTACAAAGACAGCCCATAGTTGGACTTATACATAGAACCTCTTATGGTTCTGGATATTCCACCATCAAGGAAGGAGCTGAGGATCGTCGTGACATGTCTGAAGACGATAGCTTCCCGAGGCTAAGACTTCTGCAACCTTGTAAGGTCCTTCCCAGTTGGGTGATAGGCTCAATGTGATTGACATCATTCCGGCAGAGGACGAGGTCTCCTACATCTAGCTCCCGTGCTCAAACTTTGGCGTTGTAGTACTTGGCCAATTGCTGCTTGTATTGAGCTTCACGGGCTTTGGCGAGATCCCTATGTTCATCTATGAAGTTGAGGCCGAGTCGAACTAAATCATCATTCTCCTATTCAACAAAGTTGACGACTCGAGGACTAGGGACTTCAATTTCTATTGGAATAACTGCCTCCATTCCATATATGAGGCTGAAGGGAGTAGCGCCCCTGGCCGTCCTCATCATAGTCCAAATGGCCCACAACACATGGGGTAGCTCCTCGGGCCATCCACCTCAAGCTTTCTTCTGACGGGTCCTCATATCTCTCAAACTAGCCCTGTTTATGTTCTCCGCAAGGCCATTGGCTTGAGGGTGTGCTACAACTGCAAACCTTCTTTCGATATTCATCTCCTCATACCACCTTTTGAAGACCCCAGATTCAAACTGAGTCCCATTATCTAATATAAGCACCTTGGGTATGCCAAACCAACACACCACATGCTTCCAAAATAACTTAGAAAAATCTTCCCTCAAGATTGACGCAAGGGGTTCGGCCTCGACCCACTTGGAAAAATAGTCAATGGCAACAATCAAGTGGGAAAGCTTCCCCAGGGCCATCGTAAAGGGATCGATGATGTCCGTGCCCCACTTGTAGAAAGGCCACGGGCTGTCAATCGGAAACATCTCATGTTGAGGCTGCCTCGGAATAGGGAAGAACTTTTGGCAGGGGACGTATTTGAGTACTAACTTGTAACAATCACGAGCCATGGTCGGCCAATAGTACCCAGTGCTTAGCAGTTTCTTGGCAAGGTTACGTGCCCCAAGGTGTGCTCCACAAGCGCCTTCATGCATGCTCCGCATCAATAGTTCTGCCTGCCCGGGAGGAATGCATCATAGAAATGGAGTATAATATCCGTGTCTATAGAGGATGCTTTCAATCGTACTCTTCGAGCCTCCCTAGGATTCGTAGGTTGGGTGCCATCTTGCAAATACTAGACGAACGGGGTCATCCATGAAGGCCATTCTTCTTTGATCACCTGGACTTCTTCATTATCTACACTCCGTTGGGGCAAGACCTCCACCAGGACTCTTTGGAGAAGCCAGTTTGCTAAGTTGATGTGATCCTGAATGGTCCGTTGAGTGTCATACCTAACTATGATGATCATTATATTGATTGCGATCACATAGGGGGTGTATGATATCATATTGATGATGGAAAATTGAAGTCAAAATATGGCTCGCGTCAAGCTAGAATCAAGTCGACAATGAAGTCACAAGAATCACGTCGACATGATGGTCAAGCAAATAGGTAGAAGAGAAAGCTAACAAGGTGCGCATCAACGATTTAGTCGAGAAGAGGCAATTAATAAGAGGAATGATGCGGACATCCAAGGTGGTCAAGCTCAAGGACAAGTCAATTTTCTACCAAGTAATCAAGTTGGAGCTCAAAGAATGATTCAAATTCCTTAGCTAATATTGGAGGTCATATGACGAGGTCTCAAAGGAAGAAAATGAATGAATCGCTCAATAATTTGTCCATGGATGTTCAAGCTCTTAATGTGGATTCAATTCCATGGGTTTCATGTTTATCTTGGAGTAGAATTAAAGCTTTTAGTGCATGTCAAGCTCTTGGTCGAGGTGAGGAAGGTGACAAAGAAGTTGACCAGAAGGCATCGAGCAGAATTGAAGTCGACGAAGAAGTCGACGCGCGCGATAGAATTTTCTTATCTTCCTAATTTGATTAGGAAAAGGATTTTTTGGTCATTTAACCCTTTTGTCCAACTCTCCTTCACCTCTAGAAGATTCTAGATAATTTAAATAATTGTGACATGCGCAATTATTTATTTAAATATTATTTAAATCTCTATAAGGAAACATAGGAAGAC